ACTGAGTGAACCACAGATCTGGCTAATCTCAACCTGGCAGTATTTCTTTCAATTGAAAGGAGGAAAATAAAATGGACTGTAAAGCTATGGAAAAGGTTGATCTGTGTCAGAGAAATGTGGAGTATGATTAACCTTAGCTTTCATCCGCATTGCAAGTAAAGAGACAAGCTGATCCTAAAATTTCTAATGGAGACTAGCTATATATCTTTAGTCATTATTTTGGGTAAGAAATCCAAAGCTTCAGATCAGACATTTTTGAGAATTTCTTAAAAACATATTTTTGCACATTTTCAAGCTACTAAGCAGTTACAGGCCCGCTATGTAAAATGAATAAGATATTTATTCCTGGTTATATTAACACTTTTTTTCTTCAAAAGGATCTCATGAGGATGTGGGAAAAAAAGAATGATTCCACTGACAATACACTGGTCATCATGAGGGGAACAGGTAATGGGAATCTATGACTTAGGATGTAGAAGGGGACATACCCTGTTGTGGGCAAATCTCTCAACAAGTCAAGGCAACTTTGTTATGCCACCAGAGCCTCTTCTCAGCAGTGGGAGCAGAAACACATCTTGACTTTAAAGCTGATGGTTATTTGCAGTCTCACAATTGATGGATATTTGCACTCTCTCAAGGGTTAGCAGACTTTGTGGTGAGACTAAATTCTTGCTGTGTTTGGAGCTGAGACAAAAATATTGTCCCTACTCCCCTGTCATACAGTCCAGTCTAAGATTTGGGTCTGTAGACTGAGACCATCAGACTGAGAAATATAAAGGCAAATTTTTTCAAAGCAGTGGTCTGAACAAAGAATCGGCTGATCAGACAAAATCACACAAAATCAGCTGATCCTTCTCTGAAGAGACCACTCAAGCTAAACTGATGTATATCACTAAGGACTTGGATGATCACATCACGATCCTTTCTCTCAGCCATAGGAAAGCATTCCATGTATATTGTGCAATATTTCTCCAAAATGAGTATTTTTTGAAGTATTCTGGTTTTGTCTTCTGCCTGCACCTGCAAAGGAAGTACCAAAATATTTCCAGAAAAGTCTCCTGATTTATGAACTAAGAAGTGCTAAGACTCAACCAACAGAGCCAGACCCTATGCTGCATAGTAACATTCCAGCCATGCCTGGAGATAGGAAAACAGAACAGGCATCAGGACACTATGGGGAGGCAATAAAAATACTAGTTCCTTGGTAATCTATGAAACACCAGGTGCATTTTCCTGCAATTTATGAGTTTACCAAAATAAACCAGTACAGAAAACCCAGAAAAACTGCCATCAATATTACTGCATGCCTGACATTCTGGAATTATTTTGCTGATAGGAAATTAGGGTCCATGGGAACAGCAAAAGGGGGGCAGTGAGATCTAACATGTTTCAGTTCCCTGAGATTATTCCCCGCTCTCTCAGCTTACTTTACCCATCAAACTGATCTGCTGTCACTTCCTTTCAAGCACACTGGACTTGTCTCTTCCAGTCCCTGTAGGAACCTGAATTTATCTCCTCCCTCCAACTTTTTTTTTTCTCCTCCTCCACCATTCCCAGTAAAATGACCTTTTTTCTTCCTCCCTGAAAATTCATATTCCCATGTTATCTCATTATTCTTTGCAACAGTATACCAAATTTGCTGTCATTTTCCCATTGGGGCTATGTCCTGAAAAAGACAAAGTGGTCTGTGCTTGTTCTTACTTACTGCATACTCTCTGGAATGAAAAACACTAGTGTTAGTGTTCAGAAAGGTTCTTCTGATTTCTGGGCTCTGCGCCCACAAAGCAGGGAAGCCAACATCTCTCGGAGAACAGCATCTGACTCCAACATCCTTACTGTCTAGCTAGCAAAGGAAAAATAGCTTCAGTGCTCTTCAAACCACTCTGCTTCCAGCGCTGGCCAAAGAGGTGGGAAGGCCAGGTGTGCCAGGGGAAGATGGGCTGCCACCACAGCTCTGCTCAGCTCAAAACCAGCCTAATTTCAGTCTCACAGCAACCCACCACAAGCAATGACAGCCACCAATGCTGTATTCTGGCAGAGAATAAAATCCAGTGATGAATGACAGAAAGAAGTGTGGAAAGGCTAAAAGGATGCATGGCACCAAACAGATGGCTCACCCTGGGCTCCCCCCTACAGCCAGTGGAGGGACAATGACACTTCCACCGGTCAATTTGTCTGATGAATTTTGGATGGCTGCTTAAGGATGAGCTGGACTGTGCTTAAGAAGAGCCTTGTCTCCCCACTAATGACAAAGGGAGTCCAAGATGACCCACTATAATGGTAACAACTACATTTGGTTGGAAGAACCCCACTCTGGCTTGTTGGCTCAGGTCCCAGGTTGGTGATCAGCATAACTTACCTCCACTTGATATCTGACTTCAGGCTACTAGAAAACACATTCATGTGCTTTGCTCCAGTTCTGGTCACCTTTCTCACAGTCCTGAAGTCAAAAGCATCATCT